ATCTATATATAGTATAATAGTGTGATGCGCTGAATTTAATGGGACTTTTACATGTCCAGTACAAACCTAAAAATGGATATTCGCTTTTGCATTCGTCGTCTCACATTGATCAGGTGTGTGGATGAATGTGTATTTGAACGGATGAATGTGTATTTGAACGGATGAATGTGTGGCTATTCTCGGATGGATGTATGAACAATTGGGAGATATATAACATCACAAGTTACTTTTGAGCAGGCATTGCTATTTTATTTTTATTTTGTTTTGTTTATGTATTTTATGTCAAATTCTATTCTGTAGTATAGAATGTTCGGAATCTATGTGTAAATATTTGTTTGTATCTTTTGGTTTTTGCCACTTTTTTCCGAACTATCTTCTAGTTCTTTTGTACCCACGAAATAAATTGAACGAAGCCATAGATTGATGTTTAAGTAAGAAAGTTTAGTTTACTTGTACTCTTAATTCTTGATGTTTTTATTCAGTAAAGATGATTGCACATTGTATAACGAACGATTTTTTATTTTTTATTTTATTTTTTCGTCATTTGGTACTTCTGCATGCTGATTCATCATAAAACCATGATTTGAAGTTTTAGAATGAATGTTGAATAGTGAAATAATCACAACTTCAATTATTGTTGGACCAAAAGATATATATATATATATATATATATATTTATTTAAATAATATTATCATGCAACATTGATTGCTCAAGAGAGCTTAACAGACTTTGTTCTAATATACTTCTAATTTATATTAAATCCTTTTTACTGTTTTATTTATTTATTTTATTTTAGAAAAACTTGACAAAGTATTAAGGGTATCAGCAACTTTGAAAATAATAAAAAATAAAAAATGGAAAGAATAAAGTTTTAAAACCATTATCCAAATTGTTTTAGTTGACTACTATATATAATTAATTTTATAAAAACTGTACTGATAAATTTAGTTGGCCCTCTAATCTAATCAATCTTCTACAATCTTGTTTTACATATGTTCATTTTTTTTTAAAATTTTTAATTCTAATTTAAAATTATACGCATCTTTCTATTAAAGTCTTGACATTAGGTAAACAAATTTTTTTTTTTTCTCATTGTAAGAATATCTTAATAAAATTAAAACTTCAAAATAATTTAATAGAATCTACCATTTTTTTTGTTAAACATATACCAAATTGTACTAATCTATACTTTTTCAAATTACATTACAATGTGTGAAACATATCCGGGTTTTCATTTGGTTTGTTTAATTGAAGGTTAATTAACTGATTTTGGTCAAGAATATTTTTCCATCTATTTTTTCCACTCTAAGTATGTCAGATGTACCCAATTCTTGCCAAGTATAACTTAGTTATAAATTACAATATAACATTTATGTTTGATACAACAAAAAATAAATACTTTCAGAAACACAAGTTTTAGACCTCCTTCCATGAAAATGAATAAACTATATTACAAATTAGGTACTAAAAATTATTATTTTACTATTAATTTTTTTAAAGTTTTTAAAAAATATTTATTAATCAAATATTTAATTAATACGAATTATATCAAAATTATTTACTTAAATATTGTAAAATTATTTGATAGATATCAAACTAAAATACAAAATTAACATGATTTATCTAATTTCAAATTAAATAATTAAATAATACTTTTAAAAAATTGATAAATATCAAACATAAATTATATTATGTAGAATTTTTTGTTTCTTTTATTGCATGTAATATGAGGTAAATATAGATTTTTTATTTCGTTTACATTTTTTATTTTCTTAATGGATAAAAATTGAATATGTTTTTTATAACATTTTCTATTTAAAGTTGTTCTTTACTTGGATTATTATATTTATTGCTAGAATTAACTAGTCTTATTTGTTGACTTGCATCCATGTAAAAGTTTTCAAATACTTATATTTTTTTATGTTGTGGTTAAATACTTTTGTCATATTGAACAAAATTATTGTGTTTAATAATTTTAAGTCAAATACTATTGTCTGTCTCGTTAATATAGTACTTCTAAATCTTCTAATGGTGATTTTTATATGGTCATGTATTTAAAAATTTTGGTGCAATGGATAATAATAAATATTGTTCTATTAGCCACATTTAAAAAATATATCTTATCATTTAAAATATCTGTGGTTATTTTACTATATTTTATAAATATCTTAATTGATGAATTAAATTTTAAGTATATATAATATTTAAGATTAATGAGTGCTTCAAGTTTTTTTATTATTATTATTATTTTTAATTAGAAATATAAATAAATAAATAAAATCACTAAATTTAATTACATAGAATTCTTGAAAATTCTTACTTTGTGAAAAATACTTAATCACTTTCTTAGAACAATTTCAATTGTTTCTTATTATTTGTTATAATACTTTTGTGCTGAATATTACTCAAAAGAATCAATAATATGAATTAACTAACTTGAATTATTCTAAAATTAAAATTTTTATCCTATTTAAATTAAATGAAATTAGTAATTTTTGTTTTATATTCCAAAATAAGCCCTCAAGAAATTGAAAATTATCTATTTTTAATTTCAGTTTTATTGATTCAATAGTATAAAAATTATTTCTAGATTTTTTTGTATGGCTATAGCTTATTCAATTTACATACTTGAAAATTTTGAATATTAATTAATATTTTAATTTTTTATTAGATAGATTAACTTCTATTTATTATTTAAATACTTTTATGTATTTTAAAAGAATTCTAATTTAAAAATTTATTAAAAGAAAATTATATATATATATATATATATATATATTTATTCATTACAATTTTCTTTTTCTTTTTCCTTATTACAAATATCTTAGCTAACAAACATAGATTGTCTAAATCATTATATTATTTTACTTTAGAAATTAGATTTAGACCATTTAGTTACCTATTGAATAACTATATTAAAGAGTTATTAAATTATTTTAATAATTATTATAAATTATTAAATTATTAAATCAAATTTCTAAGTCTGATATTAAAAAAAAAAATCTTATTTTTTTTGTTCAGTGTATTATTTATCATACAAATCAAATTATTATTAGCCTTTCTGAATTTTTTGAAGATTTTAATTAATTTGCGGCTTAGTTCTTGTGGATTTTTATTATAAATATAATGTTATCTTTGACTATATATTCATATATATAGAGAGAGACAATTTATTAGTCAAATCATGTTTTATCATATATATATATATATATATATATATATATAATAGCTTTTAAATCAGAATGTATATTTTATATGTGGATTGGTATTAGAACTTATATCATTTTTAGTTTTTTTATATGTACATATACATTTGCATATATATAATCTTATTCTTTGGAGATACTTTTATGATTTTTTAGTATTATTTTAATATAGCTACTAATTTTTATATTATATATAGTTTCATGTTCATATTTTTTTCAAAGGTTATCTATATTGATATTCTGACGCTTATAGTTTTTTCATCCAAAAATTTTACATTTTAGTTTACGAAATAGAAGTGTTGTATCTTGATATTCAAAAGATTGAAATTATCTGTTATTAATTTATAAGTAGATACATTAATACAGGGTAAAAGAAATATTAAAGAGAATATTTCAAAATTAAAATAGTATACTTTTTTATTTTTTATAATATTAAAATTTTACTATTTTTTCTTGTATTTAATTTAATTTAATATTTTTATAAAAATAACTTTCACTATTTTGACTTTGGACATATGACCTTAATTGGTGAATTGTTTCAAATATTGCAAGTTGACTTAAATTTTTTAAATTTTGATTAGGAATTTATCTAAACATTCTCTTCTTTGATACACCGTATTTATTTTATTTTTTTAAAATATTTTTCTCAAGAACCACTAACTTTGATCTAACAATATCATATTGTAATAGATATTATTAAGCTTTTATATTTTGTAAGAATTATCATTAGGTTTGGGATTTTTAATTTTTTTTAATAGTTTATATAAATTTTATTTATTAATAACTTTAAAAATGTAATTGTTCTCTACTCGAAGTCTATGCTACTTCATGTTATTTTGCTTAAAGGATTATTAATCCCAATTAACTATCTCATAAATTACAAATATATAGTTGTTTTGTTCAAATATATATATATATATATATATATATATATAGTGTTGTAACACCAATTAATATTCAAGTAAATACATACATCATCAATCTTCTACATATGTCTATTTTTCTTATCAAACTTCATTTATCTAATTAATCAATATCACCATACTTTAAAGAAAGTGTTACTCATTTTTAAAATAACTTGTATTTGGCATTCTTAATATTTGTTTTTTTCTTAAGCTTCACTTTCCTACTATATCTTTTCAAATCAATTTTGTTTTGTATACTATATGTCTTTGGCTTCATCTAAGAATTTTTTTTTATTATTTACCTACTCTTACACATAGTTGTAGTAATTCTAAGCAATACTCCAACCTTGAAAACTATACATCTAATGCCTCTTTACCTACTCATGTTAGTTCTTTAGATTTTGAATGAAAAGGTACATGAAAAGGCCCACAAAGACTCATTTCGATGCATTAATTTATACCATGGCCCTAATCCTTCCACAAGAAGTCAATGTGAAGACAGTACTACATTCATTACTAAAGACACTATTGACTCCATCCACAACCCATCTTAATTTTGTAAGCAAAACAATGCTTACAGTCAATGGTTAGAAGAGCACAAGACTACAGTGTAGAGATGCTCCCTAGCCATACCCACCAGAGCTTCAAAGGTGGCATTAGTCAAAACTAGACAGCTTTAACAAACTATTGGGTATCTCATTTAGATGCACAGCGAGTCACCTCTGTTCACACACACAACTAGTGTGTGTGTGTGCTTTTCGACATTATTCTGTGCCACCTGCATTCACTCACAGTAGAATAGCACAGTAGAATAGCGTGACCGTCAATAAAGCTGAACAAAGAACACGGGGAATCCAATAGTCTTGACTCAGAACATGCTTTAATCAGCCTAGACAAGACTCAAAGATGGGAGGTGAGGCAACTGTGAGAATCAAGCTCTAAATGGCAGTCATTCCTCGCCTCCAGATGCGCATGGAAACCAGAGATCAAGTTAGTGTTGTTGGGATGGTTTGGTTGATGAGCGAACAATGATTCATCACCACCACCATCACCACATCGCACTACAGTGCTACTGCCGAGCAGTGGGTGGGGTTGTGTTGGCACCGTAAGCAGGCGATACAAAATCTGGACGATCAGCTTCCATTAATAACGCTTTCGAATCTCACCCGAACAAAACAAGGAGCGTGACCTGGAGCTAGGGTCGATGGGATCGCACAATCTGGGTGGTCCGAATCTTTGTCAGCAAGAATGATTCGTGTGATGCTTTCTGAAGCCCATCCCAAATTTCGATAAAATAGTAAAAAGAAAAGAAAAAAGAAAGGAAAAAAACAAACAGCAGTGGGGTTCTTTTCCCATCGGTGTTGTGTCGGAGACTGCAGGAACTGGACACACACCCAGAGTGTGGAGAAAAAAAACCAGCAATAAAGATAAAAGAGGGCTCGATAGTCATTTCCTTGTCTGAACCTGGGGAATATACAGGTTTTCGAGCCGAGTGCCGTGGATGAAGCTAATAATATCCACCACTATGTTATGCTTTACAGAAGCCTGGTTTGATTCCAATCGCGGTTTCTTCGCTTGTCCGGGATACGCGACGCGGATGAGGAGGAGCTAAAAAGCGTTGGTTCACGAGGCTTCTACCCTTCAAACCCAGTCGTTCTGCCCAATTGGCCTGCCCATCTACGGTACCTGACAACCGCCTTGGCGTTGTTTGCTTCTTGCGAAGATTGGTGCCACTGTTCTGGGAGATAATTTGGTGGTTCTCTTGCTGTTTTTAAGTTACTGGTAAATATTTACTAGGAAGATCAGAAATGTTTTGTGACTTTTTAATTTCTTTGCTGTAGTTTTTTTTCGAAGAGAATGAAAGGAATAAAGAAATGAAATAAATAAAATGTTAGGGACTTGAATTGACTTTGTTTCCCAGAATACCACAGAATTATACTTAGTGCAATCCAGATTTGACTACAGCCCACAGTTGATGGAGTATTTTAAGCGCAGAGTAAAGAGGATTGAAGGAGGATGCTTCATCACTCCTAGATCATTCCACATCAACCAGATTGTGAGCTGCCTCTGACCACCATTAAAATGCACTAGCTTGTAATATTAAATTCGTTTGACGATGAGCTGATGAACTCCACGAAGCCTCAACATATCCAAGCTCACTAGAGTCGCATGACCTTTCGAGATCATTTCAGTGTCTCGATAAGATTTCTATCTACTTATTCAGAATCTATTCATTTCTTGCACTCTTCTCGCATTTCTTACATTCATTACCCCACGAAGCCAGGCAACTTCGAAACAACAAAAAATAGACTCATGAGTAGCTCGACAGAATTGCAGCAGGCGGAGCTGAAGACTCATTACTGGCTAATTGCTTTTCACTCTCCGTTGCTTTGCCCTTTTTGTGTGCTCCCTGGTCGTTCAAAATGGTTGGGCATGCAGCACCATGTGGGTATTGAAGGAAATCACCTGCACGGTTGCATGCAAACATATAGCAAGCCACGAATCCGATTGTTTCTCCAGAGGTTATCATTGCTATTACACGCCATACATCTGTAGTTATGAACGCTATACATGTTCACTTTGGCTTCATCTGCGGAAAAGCATGATGGGCACATTCCACCATTCATTTGCGAACAGCGCTTGGAAAAGCATCACTCACCGCAACAGCCCTCGTCCGGCCACATCTCGCAATCGGAGAAATCAGGGTTGAGTGCGCTGCAATCAATCACTCTGGTGTGGAGGAATGGATGTTGTCGCTGCTTGTTGCTATCCGGCTATGCTGTTAAGGTTAAATGTATGCTGGCAGAATGTTTAAGTTTGCCACTGCACTTATCATCACCCTACTCCGTGATATTGTTCGCTCTTCCACTGTCTGCGAATCCACGGAGATCTCTTGGAGCCAAAACACTGATAAACATACTAATCATTTGGCCGACGACAAAGCCAGCTAACAATCTTTTCTCTCAGACCAAGATTGTTTCTCGAACATGAGGCATTAGCCTAATGGAAGGTTATAATTGGTGCGCTTCGCTGCGAGAGGATGAGTGGATTTTAATCGACACATTGGTTTTAGCTCATGCTTTTTCCAGCCTCGGCATCCTTGTCTTTAACGGCACCCCGCTTCCGCAGCCGCATATCTAGTTCCGCTCACACAAACCACCACCCACCACCAATAAAAAATTATTATACTGGTCGCCGCCGTTTGAGCAGAAAGTGAATACAGATCGAGAAGACGCATACGCTCACAGGAATCCTGCAGGTTGGATATATGGGTGCAAATCAAATCATATGTTGGCCTACCTGATCTCAACTTGCTATTTCACTACCACGTCCATTATGAGGTTTAGGCGGGGTTAATTTCCTTCCCTGCTATGGAACTCATCCCTCATAAACTGACAAATTATCGCCTGGTTAGTTTTAATTAGTCTAAACCGAACCAATGGAACAAAAGTTGAGAAGGAGCTCACCAACAAAAAGCGCATGATTCTGAAAGTTGCATAGAAGCCTGAGGTCGTCTGATGGTAAACTAGACGCCAGGCCATCATGATGTGAATGTATGTCCACGTTGTTTTGAGCGTCGAAAAGATTTTGGACCCGACATTACAAAGATTGATTCTCTCAATTATAAAGAGAAACACGAAGGTTTACACTTTCCACAGACTGGAAACTGGATGATTATGGACTTAATGGTCACCCTGGCGCCTCCTTTCGGTGGACAGTTCAGAGAATGAACGCGGCGAGTTAATTAAACTGCAATCATGAGTATCTGTCTATACCATGTGCGGAATTCTCATGAATGTATCACAATATGTCAAGATTTCATCACTTTGAGAGCAACGAATGGATTCGTCAGACTCCACGGAAACCACATTCGACGAGTCCCTGAAGGTTGAGTGATTCTTGTTACACTGTTTCAAAAAGACATGATTCATTCAGTGCCCACCGACATTTGCTGTTCATTCTCATGGTACAGTTGCTCCAGTCAATAAAGTCAACGAGACCCAAAGAATGATCAGCGTCTGTCAGGAACAATTTCAGTTCTCTTTCCAGGGCCTTTGTTAAGTCCTTTTGCTTTCGGCTGAGCTCGATGTCTTGATTGTTTGTTTTGCCTGATTTCCACCTTCCACTGGTGGACGAGGTTGATTACTTCATCGACCATCTCCATTTTTTTCATGGCTTAAAATCTCTCTCCCTAGAACTGTAATTCCTACATTCCTCCTGGTTGGTTCCTTTTCTAGTTTACGCCAATAATCTGTAAAGCTTCTGGATGATTGGTATTTGAAGATGGGTGTAAGCAGTACTAGCAGGTTTACATTGGAACAACAATCTTGCTGTGTCGACAGAAGATAAACATTTCCAACGAGAAGTAATTAAAAAAAAAGAATTATGGGGGGGGGGGAGGGAATTATCTTGGTCCTCATTAATGGTCTTTACCTTCATTATTCTTCGTCCTTCTTCTATTTCTGTAGTGCCCCGGCATGTGGAAATAACGGTAGATAGGCCTGATCACAGCAACCATGTGGACAAACTGTTTTCTCCCGCATTGCCGCTTACAGCACTGCAGAATGACTGCTCCGTTTGGCCAGTGTGGTCGGGCTTTGAAGGCCAGCGGCGCAAATGCTGCTTTTCCAGTATGGGCTTAACGTCGTTAGTGATAGGCAATCTGGAGGAAGAAATCTGAATGTCCTGTGATAAAGGACATTTTATCACACAGGGTACGAAATTCAGATACAACACAGTGGCAAGGCAGAAAACGTTTTTAGTTCAGGAGGACACTTGGCATAAGCGTGAGAGTGCACAGCAGTGCCCGTTGAGATCCAGAACATGACACAGTTTTTCTGGATATTGCAGCCAACTTGAAATAAGGTTGGGGCGACACTGCCATTCTCTGCTTTCACAAATCCGAACATCCCAAGAGAAGGCAGCTCACAGCTGAGAGGGTCCAGTACTTGTGCTTAATCTGCATCTCAATCGAGATTCCAAGGGTCCTACTTACTACAATACCACGACTTTTTATCACAAAGTAGCCTGTGTCCCATTAGAAAATCTGCAACAATGATGATGCATTCTTTCGTCTTCCTGAGGAGATCGGTTGTGTCTGGCTCTTGTTAAGCGCGTGCTTTGAGAAGAAATCGCTAGCCGCAACCAATTTTGATGTAGCTAAACCTAAAGTCAAATTGCAGCGGGTCCCAGGACCAGCTTTTGCTAAACGTCATCACATGCAGCTCCACATAAACAAACATTATTATACGCATTCTTTGCCTTAAGTACAGGATGGCGTTACCAGGAACTGAAAAAACAAACCAAATTTCTAGGAAAAGCAGAGGTGGAGAAAAACCTCTGAAACTTATTGAACACTTTTTTTTTTTTTCTTTGTTTCTTTGTTTTGTTTTCTGTTCGTACTTGGGCATCACCCAGTCCAGCATCTGTGACGTACCCCATACCTATAGGAAACCCGAGTAACTAGCTTCTGCGATCAACCGCGGCAAAGAAGCTTTGTAAGACTGAGTAAAACACTTGAAAACTCAGGATGAAGCCAACTGACCCCGAATTCTTAATCTTACAGCAAGCCCACTTGCGGGAAAAAAAGCATTCAAGTGGGCACTGCTGTGTTCAGACCGAGCTTTAAATGGCTTCAGAGATCCACTATCCAGACAAACTGCATATCTAAGCTCATCACACGTGAATCCACGCACTTGTCGACAATCCAGCAAGTCGCGTGCTGCAGCGTTACGTCACTCACTTATGCAGTGACTTTTCGTGATATTATGCTCACTAGAAAAAAAACACCCTGTAAGTCTCAGGGTCTGGTAATATCACTGACACGTGGATTGAGCCCATCTCAAGCTCCGCGACATGCGATTTACTCCTACATGAATTTTTTGCCTTGTGGGAGGCAGCCATTGCCGATTCTTCTAGCCGCGTTTCCAATGATTAGGCAGTGGGCATTCTTTGTGTAGGGGTGAGGAGTTCCGACCATGACCTACAGATTTCTTCCAAAGCCTACTTGAAAACAAAGCAATGGGTCATCTTTGCAGCTCAGGCTGGATCCAGCTGTTGAGCATTTCTTGCTCTCACACGCTTTCTGATGTCAGGCTTTGCTTGCGGGCTCTAATGATTTGTGTTGACAATCGGCGACACCATTATCCATGTCAAACACTGCAAAACACATGGAGCTTCTTCTTCTTCTAATTCACATGCTCTATCGTTGCGACCCTGGTCAGAGTATGGATACCATGTTTACCTCGCTGCACAATATTTTTGTATAGAATTATGGCGTTGAAGTGGTTCCATTCACATAATTCTTTTACAGTGTCATCTTCCTCATCCTGGAGCTACACTATGTCTAGCTTGTTGTTCTGTACTTTCTTTTTCAGATGATCCAGTCTGCATGCAGAAAATTATTCTTCACCTTGATTTCAGCCATTGATTTTTAAGGTTTTATTATTATATTATTCTTTTTGTTGAAACAGGAGGAGGTAGACCCCTTTGCTGATTAATGTGGGTTAAGTTACATAAAAACAAGCCTTGATTACGGATTTGGTACACTGTGGTCAATCCTTACCTTTGGACGGGGAGTGTACTTCTATGTCATTAAGTTGTTTGTATTCATAATTGCTAGTTTTTTCTCTGACTTACATTGTTGTTATTTTTTTTTGATGTGTTTTGAGTTGTTGAGCAGTCAATTCTTTAAGAAGATTAATGTCTTATGCCAGCTACCTTTTCTATAAACTATGAGTCTATATCATATTTATTATTCTCTCTCTCTCTCTCTATATATATTTTTACTCTAAATTCAAGTTTCTTGTTTAAAGATTATATCATTCTATTACTTTCAAATAGTCTAAAAACATGCATGTGCATTAAGAGGTCATAACATTTTTATATCTTTGAATTAGATAATTTTTTCAATTAATTCGATTATATTAAGTTAAATATGTGATTGAAAAACATAGATAAGGATGACATATGTAGAATTGAGAAGGATGATGGATCAATAATGCCTTAATATAGCTTAATATCTTTTTTGTGCATATAAGAGTAATAATGTCCTTAGTAATGATTAAAGGAAAGGCTTATGAATTGAAGATAATCTTTTTGGATAATATTCCAAAATATGTTGATGAATTTGATGTTTATAGTAATTGGTCTATAATAAAATTGATAACTAAAGCTTTTATAGGATCACATATTTTTTTAACTAAAAAATTATTATTAAAGGTTTTATTTTATTTTATTTTTAGTTTCTTTTGTATAAATAAGAATAAAAATATATGATTAATCTTAATTATATCCAATTAGTCATAGGTATTATTCATCAATAGATATTTTTGGTTGTAGATTGTAATCTTTGATATTTTTTTCTTATATTTTAAAAGAATTCTTAATAATATAAGTCATTTTATGTAATCCATTTATTTTACACCTTTTTCTATGTCATTTTTTTTTCTTTTATTTTATATTGGCTTTAATATCATATCAGCGATTTTTATTTTTTTATTTTTTTGTAATTTGATATTTTTTAAATGATTGTAAAGACTGGCATCAATGTTTTTAAGAGATCTATAACTTAATTCGTCTTCTTTTTGTTGTATAATTTTGATCTTGCAAAAAGTTTTATAATATCAAATAGAATTTTTAAATTTAATACAATTATAAATGATTCTAATATAACATATTTTTGGACCAAATAAAAAAAAATAGACAAAGAAGATTATCTACAATAGAGGTTTTGGAGGGAATTTTTTGAGACAAACAACAAGATATCAAGTATTGCCTACAATCTAGGCAAGAGGAAAGACAAGTCAATCAAATACTTCCAATTAAATTTGTATATCCTTGAATAAGAATAGGCTATGCCTTAAGAGCTACAATCACTTACAAAATATTATATCTAGTGGCCATGAAAGCCATTTTCTTTAAAACTATTAAAATTCCAAAAATATTGTATTTTTCATCCTAATATTCATAACAATGTTAGAAATGCTATTGACAATGCAATCAACTTGGGCCCATTTTATTATAATAGCTAATAGAGGGTGCTTCTTCTCTATTCAAATATAGATATTAACAATCATATCTATAAATTAAAAATCAGATTATAAAATAAAAGTGAATATACTATTTGATTAAGTGAAAAGAATTTTAACCTTTCTTTAATTGAAGTTATATTTATATAAAACAAAGCTTTGCAATCCTAATTAAAATAAGATATAAGTTGAATAGTTAGTGAATCTAAGTGGACTTATCTTTGTACTTAAGAAATTGGTCATGGCCTCCACTTATATAGACTTTGATTGGTATTTAGCTACTTGAATCTAATTTTGACCTATCTACACTATTTAAATGCAAATATATATATATATATATATATATATATATATATATATATATATATATTAATAAATAACCTTCTTCCTAACTCTAAATATATATTTTATCTAAATCAAATCTAAGTTAAGTGTCTCATGTTAAAAAATTCTTACTTATTAATCTTATAAAAAGATATATATTTTTTATCTATTGAATATAATTTAATAGCTAAGGAGATTGTTTAGCTACTATATTATATTTAATACTATATTCTTTATTATACTTTTAGTTATTAAAGATAATCAACTTAATTAATGGCTTAGTAATAATATATTTTAAATATTAAAAAATAATTTTTGATACTAATTAATACATGATATTCTTATTTGAGGGTTCAATCTTTGTCAATGCTCTTGGTTTGTTAAGTTTTATGGCCCTT